AACTGTCGAGTTCGTCACAGCGTCTGGTAAATCATTCACATACAGGAGGAAGAGTATTGGTCCTAAGATACTGCCTTGCGGAACACCGGAGCACACTGTTTTTTTGGAAGAAGTAGCGCCAAGAGTTGTGACGCGCTGTTGGCGGTCATGTAGATACGATGTGAACCATTGGAGAAGAGATCCGCCAATGTTATACTGTTGGAGTTTTTTTATCAGAGCTGTATGGCTGACCTTGTCAAAAGCCTTTGATATGTCCATGAAGATTATATCGGTTTGTTTACCAGAGTCTAAAATGGATCCAATGTAGTGCAAAACTTCGACTAATGATACTCCTTCAGGATTAAAAGTACGCCACCTCAAATCTCGTTTAGCTAGGTCAGACGATCTATCTGGTGCTGTTAGACCCTACAGTGTTACTAATTTGAAAGACAAATTTTTTAGGTTTAAATTTTCATTAGGTCCAAGGGATTTTATGTAGCCCAACAGCTGAAAGACTTTCCATGTGTGCGAGTATTTTGCTTGAGGAGGTCGTAAATTAAATATCCCCCTCAATAGTTGGGAAACTAGTGGATGAGAGCCAACTTTCCAGGAATCAATAAGTGGTAACACTGCAGATAAGGCAGAGCGATAAACATAAATTGATCTATATGCTTTGCCCTCCTTATATTGTCCTGTAAGAAACTCTAGGATAGATTCTATAGATGTTGAAAGTGGATTAATTTTTCATTATCATACCAGCTAACCCACTTATCCAGGCATAGGCACTATGTCTCCAGGCCGCCAACAAAACGTTTCGAGTTTCTTCTGAAACGTTTGCCGTTTCATGGGATTTGCCGACAGCTTCCACCCAGCTAATTGAAGATTGCTTAGAGGGTGCGACTGTTCTCCCTTCATCCAAAGTTGAGGTAGTCTCCTACGCATACCTACTTAGCGGGCTGTGCCCTCACGTAAGGTAGGTATGCTTACTTTGGCCAAGAATTCCTTTCCTCAAAATTAGCCAATCACAGCTTTACCCACGAAAATTGTGGGGCTTGACCTTTGACCTTGGGTCGTCAAACGTTTCAAAACATTTAATCTTGAACATTTCATATTTTCATTTGTACGTATTCATATCTTAAACTGATTATCTGCGAGAGCTGAGAGATATATTTGTTATACATATACCAGTCTACAAATTTACAATATGGAACAATTGTAAAATCTGTTAGAATTTGTCGAGCTGTTATCTTGAACGGGCAGTGTAGTAAAATCGAACAATATCACCTAAAATATTTTGCGATGTTTTGATTACTTTTATACAGGCGCTTGCAGGTGTTACTGTAACAAGGGCAATATACTGGACAAAGACGTCAAGACAAAGTTATAAAGTTACAGTGTACATTACTGCGGGTGTAGATAATAGATTTATAACTAGGAGTTACTATCTATAAATACTAATTGAAGATTATAGAATTCAGCCTATATAAAATACTGAATTGAATCATTGCATATTTCGGTTTCTTAGTTTGTATATGACTAGCCAGTTTATAAAGTTTAATAAAATCGTAATTACAAAAGTCACTCTGATATTGAACGTTCCGAAACTTATAGTATATACTGTAATATTGAATATACATACTGTCACATAGTCGCGTAAAGTTCAAAACAAGTATTACCAGTGAATAGTTTTACATACATTTAAGCCTTCGACCTATCACGAACTTTCGTTGGAAAAATATTCAATATCTTCTACAATGACTCGTATAGATCGGAAAACTCGATCTGTTCACATTTATGGCCATTTAAATATGTATATACCGTATTATTATTCGAAATATTGCACACTCCTTGTTTACACTTTACAGTTGACATTCAAAGTGGGCGTGTTTAGTGTATTTGAATGCTATTGGCCAATGGAATACAATGGGAAGGCGAATTGCTAGCCAAAGTAAGCAGACCGTACGTGGCAGGCCCAAACCCGCTAAAGTAGGTCTGCATAGGAGAGAGTTGTGGAGACATAGGAAATAGTAGTGGAAGATCCACACACAGTTGCAGTAGCAATGGGTACCAAGGCTGAGTTGGCCATACCGGTGCTACTAGAACTAATTGATCCACTTTCTGGGACCTCACCTGCCGTACACAACGACCTATCAGGGCAAATGGGGGAAATGCATACCCCCGAACTTCGCTCCAGTTCACAGAAAATGCATCCGTGTAAGTTGCCATTGGATCTGGTTTCCAACTGGCAAATTTGGGCAGTTGGTGTGTTAGCCTGGATGCAAAAAGATGTACCTCGAAAGGGCCCCACCTGTTGAGCAGGGCTTGAAAAACTGACAGGTTCAGTTTCCAGTTGCTGGAATCGTGTATCACTCTGGACTCCAGGTCTGCCCTTACATTCAAGTACCCGGGGAGATGTTGAGCTGACACCATCATATCTTTCTGGAAGCACCATTCCCACAGATCTATCGCCAATTTCGCTAAGCCCTGGGAATGAGTATCCCCCATCTTGTTTATGTAAGCAACTGCTGATGCATTGTCCATCAGCAGTTTTACATGAGCACAAGCTCTGGATTTGGTGAATGTTTTGATTGCCAAAGAACCTGCAAGGTGTTCAAGACAGTTGATGTGAAGTCTCTTTTCTTCGAAGGACCAAGGACCCCCTGTCCTCACCCCCTTGCAATATGGTCCCCACCCCTTCTGAGAGGCATCTGTCTCGATTATAAGCTCGACAGGATCCTGAAACAAAGCCCGGCCATTCTATGCATGGAGATGGTCTCTCCACCAAAGAATCTCTTCTCTTGCTGGCTGGTCTAAAGCAACCTGGGCTTCGTATGTTTGAAGGGAGGCTAAAGTTGTATTTTTTAGCCTTTGAAGATGCGAAGAGTAGGGAACATTGCCTGAATGGAGGAGGTTAAGAGGCCCAGGAATTTTGACAATTCTTGATCCAACAATTTCTGACACTTTCTGCAAATATTTCGCAACTTTTCTCCTGGAAGTTGGAGTGTCATGGCATTTGAATCTATCAAAACCCCCAGAAATTCCATCCCTTGGCAAGGCAAGAGTTGTGACTTCTGGTAATTTACTATGAAGCCTAGCCCCTCAAGGAGATTCAGGGTTGAGGCTGCATGATGTAATGCTAGATTGTGAGATTCGGCCATAATTAGGATATCATCTAAATATATAATTAGGCGAGTACCTCTTTGCCTCAATACCCCTACTACCGGCTTCATAAGCTTGGTAAAAACCCTTGGCGCGATCGCCAAACCGAAAGGGAAGGCATATGCGAACTCCAGCATGGTGTCCTTCCAAAGAAATTGCAGATATTTTTGGTGGTTCTTCCAAATTGGTACTGTCAGGTAAGCATCCTTGAGGTCGATTTTCACGAAAAAATCTCCCTTCTTTAATAGATCCCTTAACATGTGGATTCCCTCCATCTTGAAATGCTCGTAGCCTAGAAACTGGTTCAGGGGTTGGGTACCACAAAGATAGAACTTATAAATCCTGCCTCTAGCTTTGGGGATTGTACTGGATGAATTGCTTGCTTCATCAACAATTCTTTTACCTTTTGCTCCAACACAGTCTCTTGTGTTGAAGAAAGCTTTGGTACATTGGGTAATGACTGTTGCACTGGAGGAGTTACAAGTTCTATCTGGTAACCCTGGATGACCTGCAGGATCCAAGGGTCCTGTGTGATCATTTCCCATGCGGGGGTGAAAAACTTTAAGCGCCCCGTTTGAGGTATATTCTGAGTCAAATTGACCTGAAAAAGTTCTGAAAACATACCTTTGGGTAAGTACAATCTGGTCTGAAATTCTTTACTGGTGGAACGACTTGTAAGTCTGGGGATTTGTAAATCTTGGAGATGAGCCACCGCCTCTGTTTCTGTTCCCCCTGTTGAACATGGTCCCTCTGGGACTGAATGGGCAAAAGGTCTTGAAGTTGAATCCTTGTCGGCCCCCACGAGGTCCGTGGAATCCCCTGGAGGCCGCCCCATGAAAAAAGGGGTTGCCTGCTCGAGATGCTTTCCCGATAGTCTCTGCAGTCTCAGATCTTGTTTTGAGCTGTTGCTCAAAACCTGATCAAAACAGATTCTGATTTGTATCCGAGAATTCTTCTTGAGCTAACGGGGGTTTATTTTCTTCAATACAAGTTCCCGAAGATTTGTGGAAATTCAAGCAACTACATCTCCAGTTAACAGCAATGCATGTTTGAGACAATCCTGGAAGCTACGAACACCAGTAGCATCCAGTTCAACCACCCATCATATGTCATGGTGCTTTCCATGGATAACAAATTTTCATATGCTGTACACAGAGGACCAAATACATCTAGAACACTATCCTGTAAATCTTTATGCGGTTTATCAGGTGTTGCTACTCCATAGATGAAAGGTTTTAAGTATTCATCCATCGTTGGCGTGTACACAGCATCCACGTTTGGCCTTGTGTACGTTTTGACCAAAGTTTTTCTCTCAAATATATTTAACCGTTTTACAGCTGTTTCGAGAAACTGCAATAAAGTCGCACTAGCTTCCCATCGAGAGTTTGGAGAGAGAATGTTCTCTGTTTCTAACTCCTCCAACTCATCATTAACATCATCGTCAAAATTGACATCGTCCGAACTTCGAACTCGCTTGGCTGGCACATGGACATAGTCATCATCATCATCTAGCCGTATTACAGGCGTATGCCCTCGCTTAGTAGCTGCACCCGACCTATCGTATGATACGGTGGGATTTGATAACTGTTTTGAACCCATTTCATCGTATGATACTCCGGGAGTCTGATTTTGTGTACCCGTTTGATCTTGAGATACTCCATATTTTGAACATCTGCTTGGCCTTGAAGCACTGCAGAGTTTTGTTGCGGAGCCATTTGTGCCATACTCACTGAAGAAAGTTTTGGAATAAAACCTTGATCGGCCACTATGGCCTGAACAAGGTCCATCCTACCTTCCATTGAGTCTTCACGCATCCATCAATCAGGATTAACAACATTTTCCAATTCTGAAATATTTTCTTGCTCCGCCATGCTTGAGGAGTGAACAAAAAAGATGAACAGAGGGCACAGGTCAGCAGTGGTGTTAGGATGGAAAGAACGTTATTTTGTTATAGTTAAGAGGACACCCTGCCCCCGAAATCTCACAATCCCATTGCAACCCGCATTTTGAAAATGGTTCATTTATTGTCTACGAAAAGCTTGGAGACTTTTTTGATGACGACATAAGAATCATGATCGAAGAACTACATGCTTGGTTAAAATCACAAAAAGTCTATAAGTCGTCGACCGGAGAAGCGTGCAAATACCTTTACAAAAAAAAAACGTTCAAAAAGATTCTTCAAAGCATTGGTGGAATTCGTCAGTTGCTGATTCATACACCATCGATACAGTTTGAAATGCCTGAAGCAACCGGTGGAAAAAACTCTCTCAAGCTGTTGGATGCCAGTCAACCTGTGAAATACCATTTACATCATATAGGAGGAGGACGCTATGGTATAGGAAGAATCGTCAGCTACTACGAGGATGAAGACGTGTATGATATACAACTTTGGGATAGAAAATCGAAGAAGACAAAGTGGAACAAAGCCCTGCCACCAGTCAAAGTAGAAGACGAACCTGCTACTGAACTTGTACAGTCAAATAGAGTGTTATGTCCTATTCAGTTAGACGATAAGTATAAGATTGGACTACTACACATCCCATCCCGGCTGGGGGAAGGGAGGTTTACACCGACTGGTGCATACCATACAATAGTTTTTAACTTAAATGCGGAATTGAACGAGGAATATATTACAAACAAGTTGCGTAAAACATACTTCAATAATGCCATATCTTCATTTTTGACCTCTCCACCATCTTTATTAAATATCTTCATCTCAGGATTCACACCTTCGTCCTCCACATTTAATTTTGTCCCAGCTACTTTTTTTAACTGGCCTAATGTGTCCACTTTCGCCATCTAATGAGAAAAATTAACAGCAGATTAGTAAGCAAAAAAATTTGACAGCATATAACGTAGCCTGCGAACAGGCTCTCTTTGAACTCTTTTTGAAATTTGAGAGAGCCTGCAGGCCTAGCTAATAAAAACGCGTCTGTGTGTTGCTTAGAATGACGCAGGGTTCCCATTGGTTGAAATTGAATGAACTACATTATACTGCCATAAAAGGGAATTAAACTTACACAGCAATAGATTCAAGGTGTCAACACAAAGTGTGGAAACTGAAAAATATCGTTCTATAGTGATAAAAATGTATTAGACGAGTTGTGTAGAAAACTAAATTTTTGTTTAAAGTTAAAGGATGGGCAGTCAAAAGCTCTTAACAATATTCTAGATGGAAACGATGTTTTTTGCTGTATAAGAGAGTTTGGCAAATACAACGGCAACGTTCTTATATCAACCATAGAATCTTTACTCTAAGACAAAGGCGACTATAATTTGCATTCTTGAGCATTCTAGTACGCCATAGTTGTTCAAATTCAAGTCGCTGCGGTGTTTATGTGAATTCACTTACTATTGCTACTTCAGGGAATTTCAGGGTTGTTTGAATCGAGATTTGCGTTTTGTTTACATATATTTGCAGGCTATTACATAAGGTGTGTCTGTATTAATTAATTTGTCACATTGTGTTTTACATTTGATTGACAACACTATAAATAGTGATGGGTGCAGACGTATTTTTATTGACTAAACCGGCAGGCTCTAACTCAATTCAAAGAGCCTGTTCACAGGCTACATATAACGGCAAAAAATCATTATACTCTAACATTGTTAAAACACTATCAAAATGAAGAGAGAAGTGAGACGAATCCATTGGTATATGGCAGAAAAAGAGAAAACCAATGATACCAAAGTTATCAAGGATCAAACGTACTGCATTTTTTCTAATTATTTAGTTTAATAATTTTGAGCAATTTGTCAACAATACAATTTCCCTCGGCTTTCAAAGACAAAGGCCATAAATCGCTAGAATACTGTTGTTTAGTAATACATTTTGTTTAGTTGACATCCGTTATTAGTACAGTTTCTAACGCTGTATCGAATGGTGGTATTTTTATCCTTACTGCGCTATTAGGCATTTATACAAATACATTATGAAATGTACTGCGAGCAATTTGTCAACAATACAATTTCGCTTGATTCTCAAAGGCCATAAATCACTAGAATACTAGTGTTTAGTAATACACTTGACATCCGTAAGTACAACTTCTTACGCTGAATCGAGCAGTGTCGCTTTCTTCTTAAAATATAAAGCAGTGCAGCCCAACGTATGAACTTGGGATTTGCAAAGGTTGCTGTTTCCATGTCAAAATTCCTTGTAAAATTATTCAATTTTCCCAAATTTTCCTCAAAATGCAGGATTATTTATGGATAATTGGGGGGAAATTAGGCAGCTCATTAATATTCTATTTTGTGGCTATCGATCTGCGATCTGACATCGGAGAAAAATGCAAGCCGAAACCTATACTCGTGCCCAGTGAGTAAAAATGAACAAAATCGATTTGTAAAGTGTTGCCATGAATTTTCGAATTTGTCTGATTCTGGCTGACATTCACTCTTATGATAAATCTGAATACGAATAAGGACAACATAAAATTAACCTTATGAAAAAATCCTATAGGAATTCCTATAGGAAAACTAATAGCATTCCTATAGGAATTCCTATTATATTTTGGCCCAATTTCCTATAGTATGTTTTTATGCAAATTGGCAAAAGTATGCATCTCTAGTACACATATCTTTTATTTGATAGACAACTATACTTTTTAATATGCACATAAAATACGAAAGAATGTCTCACTTTGCATTAGATCTGCACTAATGCTTTAGATCTTTAGTTTACAGTTTGATATCCGCTCTTTTTGTAGGGCCCTGAAATGGTTAAAGTAATAGAAGAAAGGGAATCGATGGCAGAGCCATGCACATGTGTGTGTCTACGAAGAGTTTGGAGAAGAACAAACCAAAAGGAAGGTCTAAACAAATGTCCATTTCCATGTTGCCAATATTCAGTAATTCGCCTTCCACAGCACCTGCGAGTATGTCATAAATGGACCCCAAGGAAGTTACGGTCGGGTCTAAACTCATTCAACCTTAGAAGAGAAAAAAAGTAAAGATATTAGAAAGATAAAATGATCATGCAAGAGCATTACTTGCTCTCTTCTAAATTGCAATTCAATGGTGAAGCATATACACAATCATTTGACAAAAGTTCACAAAATAAAAACAAATAGTAAAAAGTACAAGAAATATCTAGATATTGCTGTACCTTGTAATGTTGATCTGGTGACCTCATCAGAATCAGTGTTTCCTCTTCAGAATTATACAAGCCAGCACAAAAAGAAGACCAAGAAGGAGAATCATGTGAAGCACCTCAGTAATTTTTACGGGACTGTTTACATTAATAGCGAAAAAGATTTATTCTGAATTACCACCACCTGACGAGTGTTTAAATTTGAATGACGAACAATGCTCGGATATCAATGAGGATGAAGAAGAGGTCAATGATCCAGTTTTTGCTCTGGAGCGACGCAAAATTTTTGACATGTTTGACCCTTGGCTTTGAGGTGCGGATGGTGGCAGAAAAGGTGATCGGTCCTGCAACCCAGTGCCATAGGCAGATTGAATTGGTAGTAAGCTACATATATAGTTCCAGTCCAAACCTCACATGTGTATGTCTTGGCTCCTTGAATCAATTTTATGCATTTTTAAAATGTGTAAATGTCGATGTGGGAGTGTCATTGGAGATGTTAGAAGCCCTGTCGCAACAAGTCAACCTTTGGACCACTTTTTTCAGGAAGAAGAGCTTGGACCGTTTCTGGGAGAAAAGAACGGACGACATGTCATCCATGAGAACCCCTCAACAAGTGAGAGCATTCAACACTTCAGAGGTTGCAGAGGAGGCACTCAATTTTGTTGGATATAACTATGTTTATGGATGTACATCTCCAACCAGGGCCTATCGAAGTGTTAAAGAGAACTATAGTGGGAATGTTAATCCAATGAATAATAACAAAGTACGAAATAGCAACATTTGTATAGATCGAAGGAAGCTCTTGTCCTTTCGTAATTTCACTGCGAAGCCGTCTGCAGCTATACTGACATACAAACCGCCTTATTCATCAACCCATCCAGTGACCTCAGCTGCATTTCTCTCCGAGTTTGCAGACTACATGGAGTCATTCATTATGTGTACTGAGCCCATAATAATTACTGGTGATTTTAACTTTCATGTGGATAATGCTAATGATCCAAGTGCTGCTGCATTTATGGACTTGCTTGATTCTATGGATCTTGTGCAGCATGTGAGCTCAAGCACACAAGTGTCTAGACATACACTTGATTTAATCATTACGCGTAAAATGGACACCATAATCACCAGTCCACCTATCAATGACACCTTCTTATCTGATCATTCCACTGTTTTGTGTGATTTAAAACTTACCAGAGCCACGGTTAAGCCAGGGGAAACATCATACCGGAAACTTAAAGGTATCGACTTTGACTTGTTTAAGAAAGACATACTTTCCTCCACACTATGCCAAACTCCTCCTGATAACCTAGATGGATTAATTGGTTGTTATAATACCACGTTAAGTATTGTCCTTGATAAGCATGCACCTCGTCGTACCAGATGTGTTCTGTTGAGGCCGCATGTTCCATGGTTCTCCATGGAAGTCAGAGATGCCAAACGGCAACGAAGGCATGCTGAGCGTAGATGGAGAACCTCTAAGTCTGAAGGCGATTGGAGACTGTTTAAGGCTGCAAGGAACAGAGCCACTTACCTCATGAACAAAGCATGCACGGACTTCTATACTAACTTAATCAATGAAAACTCGAACGATCAGAAAAAATTGTTCTCAATTACAAGAAGTCTTTTCAATCAAACACACATGCTACATCATTTCCTCCTTGCTGCGACAAGTCTAGGCTCGCTAATGAAATGGGGTCGTTTTTTGTCAAGAAAATCATGGACATCTGTAGGGAACTGGATACTGATAAAGATAAGAATATGCCCCATTTACATGTTAATTCAACCCTAGTAACTTCGCAGTGCTCTACATCACTGACAGAGTTTGATCTTCTTGATGGGGCTTCAGTGAGGAACTTAATTGTAGGTGCACCTACTAAATCGTGCTCGCTCGATCCAGTACCAACAAAAATCGTGAAAGAATGTTTGGAAGAGCTTTTGCCCGCTCTAACAAAAATAATTAATGGGTCTCTTTCATCTGGAGTTTTTCCAGATGAATGGAAGGATGCCTTATTGTTACCATCCTTGGAAAAACAGAACCTGGACCTAGTGTTCAAGAATTTTCGACCTATCAGCAATCTGCAATTTATATCTAAGTTGACGGAAAAAGCAGTTGCTGTTCAAATGCAGTCGTATATGGCTGCAAACCAGCTTTATCCAGTGCTCCAGTCCGCATATCGTCACCATCACAGCACAGAGACAGCATTGTTGAAGGTGAAAAACGACATCTTAATGAGTATGAATAATTAACATGTTACATTATTGGTACTATTAGATCTTAGTGCCGCTTTCAATACAGTTGACCATGCTATTCTCCTGGAGTGTTTACATAATGACTTGGGTGTATCTGGAACAGTGCTCTTGTGGTTCTCTAGTTATCTTTCTAACAGAACACAAACAGTCTTAATTGATGATGCTTACTCAGACAAGTTTGATGTGAAATTTGGCGTGCCTCAGGGGTTGTGTCTTGGTCCTCTTCTTTTTACTGTTTACACCAGTGAACTGTTTAGGATCATTGAAAACCATCTTCCTAATTGTCATTGTTATGCTGACAACACTCAACTTTACCTTGCTTTCAAGCCTGGATCTGATTATGACCAAGCTGCTGCTGTAAGTGCCATGGAATCGTGTATCGGCGACATACGTAGATGGATGCTATCTAAAAAGCTAAAGCTAAATGATGATAAAACAGAGTTCTTGATCATCGGTACGAGACAACAGCTTGGGAAAGTTAACATCGAAGAACTTTGTGTGGGCAGCCATTTTATTAAACCGTCTTCTGTGGTCAAGAACTTAGGCTCCTGGTTCGACTCCAAGTTAAATATGCTGGTCCACATAAACAAGACGTGTAGCTCCTCCTTTTTCTATCTGTATAATCTTCGCAGAATCAGGAAGTATCTGACCCGCCAAGACACTGAGTGTTTAGTTCATGCATTCATCGGCAGCAAGGTAGACTATTGTAATGGCCTGCTGTATGGTCTACCCAACTTAAACTTCAACATGTACAGAATGCTGCTGCGAGGCTTGTCACCGGCTCGCCTAGATTCTGCCACATAACACCAGTTCTGGAGTCGCTTCATTGGTTACCTATTAAATAGCGAATCCACTTTAAGATTGTCTTGTTGACTTTTAAATGTATATATGGTTTAGCTCCTCAATACCTTGTGAAACTTATATCTATTAGGACAAACTCCAGATATAGTTTGAGATCATGTGATAGCCTATCTCTTACACCACCTAGTGGAAAATGTTTGGCTACACTTGGTGATAGAGCATTTCAGTCGGCTGCTCCAAAATTCTGGAACGGTTTACCTGCTAATATTCATTGCATTAACTCGTTTTCGTCATTCAAAACAGCATTGAAGACATATTTATTTAGACTAGCTTTTAGGTCTTGAATGATTTATTTTAACAATATTTTATCATATGAGTAGTGTTAGGTTCATTGTTGTAATGCGCATGTGAACATATTTCCATGCTAACATGTGCAATATAAATTCAATATATTATTATTATATCTTAAATCGGAGGGAATCTTAAAATATAGAGGTTGACGTGGAGGAATAAGACAAGATAGACAGGCAATTAATAAAATAGCTGTAGTGAATGGTCGTTGACCTTTGGTCGAGAATAATCGACAACAGACTCATTGTAGTTGTTTAATTCACATATCTTGTGTGCAACTGAGTTTGCTATCCCTAAGTCTCTGTTTAATAATATCTGTGGCTTAGCAAAAGTTAAAAACAGAGTACAGGCTCCAGTTGCGCTGGAGGCGGACTTTCGAAATCACAACATCGATGTTGCTGTTGTTTCTGAAACCCATCTTGCTACGGATATGCCCAATTTGATTGTGAATATTCAAAATTATATTTTATTCAGGCGAGATAGAGGCTGGTCTGACTTGGACAGAAGGAAAAATGGTGGAGTGGCTATATATATGTGAGGAAGAATCTGAATGTTTTGGATATTTATCACTCTAGATTATATGAATTAATATGCTTGACTTTGTTATTGCCTTGTGGTCTTTAAGGATGCAGATTTAATGAATTATTTAATTTATTTTGTTGATTGTGTGTTAGAGAAAAATCCTAACATGGTGGTTCTATGTGGTGGTGATCTCAATCAATTGGACATACATGAAATCAAGACACTGTCAGGATGGAACGTTCTAGTTGATTTTCCAACGAGAGCTGCTTCATACTTCGATAACTGTTTAACTAATCAGCCCGATCTTTTTGGAAAGGCATATCCTATTCATATGTTAACGAAAACCGATAACAAAGGCTTTGTTCTACCAGCTGGAACTAAATTAAAGCCCCTTCGGCGTAAACCCCAACTATGTGACTGTAGAAAACATTGAAAGCAAGCTTTTTATCAAGCATTAGCATCAGAGGACTGGAATGAAGTATTGGCAGCAGAGAATGTTAACATTGCAGTTAATCTCATGGAGGACAAAATCAAAAAGCTGATGGATAAGTGTATGCCCTATAAAATATGCTAGAATGTCAACTAGGGACCCTATTTGGATGACTCTATTAGTTAAATCGTTGTTTAGAGCAAAGTCAAGAATTTCTCTCAATAATGAAAAACGTCTGAGATTGATTAATAGCAGGATTTCATAAGTGAAAATCTAAGGAATCCTCGGGTTATGATTGGAAGTCAGAGATGGTGGGAAAATGTTGATAGTATATCACAGCATCGAAATTCCTCCCAAATTTCCCTTGACCCTGACTCGCTGGATAGACTTAATGATCACTTTGGTCAGACATGTTATGATGATAACTATATACCACCCGGCGATATGATGATAGCACAGGGAGTGGAAATACCCCAAATCTCAGAAAGGTATGTTTGGGATATACTATCTAAACTTAAAAGAACAGCTACTGGACCAGATATGTTACCATTTTGGGTTTGGAAGGATCATTCAGAGATTCTTATGCCAGTAATTACACATATTTGGAATTTGTCATTGTCTACTCACTCCTGGCCAAGTACTTGTTGAGAACTCACATTTTCGTGGCATTAACATTGCCCCAGTTATTGCAAGGGCTTTTGAGAAGGCTGTGTATCATACACATGTTGAGAGTACCCTAGGAAAACGCCTAAGTACCACTCAGTTTGCTTATAGAAAAGGGGGGAACTGTACAAATGCCCTTATATCCATCCAATATCAAATTTGCAAATATTTAGATGAAAATGATTGTAAAGCGGTGCGTTTATTTGCAATGAAATTCAGTAAGGCATTTGACTCTGTCAAGCACAACCTGTTATCTGATAAATTGAAACAGTTACCATTGAATCCTTATATTGTGAATTGGTATCATAGTTTCTTGTCTGGTAGACAGCAGCGCATTTACTTCAATAACCACTGCTGTATCTGGAAAGAAGTAAACAAAGGAACAATTCAGGGTAGTGTGAGTGGGCCATATCTAATCAATATTTTCTTGAACGATCTTGAGACGGAACATAATGGCATTCAATCTCTTTTTAAATATGCAGATGATTCTAACATTGTTGGGGACACCCTACCGTCCCCCCCCCCAAATATTGATAGCCCTGGCACTGTAGCCCCTCCTACGAGAAAGGCTCTAGTGGAGAGATTGTGACTCCTGAAACATGCATTATAGGCCTGGGAATCAGTACATGAAAAGTTATCCATGGAGGCCGAGACAAATTGTTTACATGGACAAAAGTTGTCCCTCCTACCAAGAGTAACCCTGTTTTGTAAACAGGGTGTCCTTACCGCCAGGGTGACCCTACCAGCCAAGACAAGTTGAAAACTTTTCATATAAACACTTGCATTTTAATGTTATATAATAAATATAATTTTTCCTTTCCTTGGGTAGCTTGGGGGTAGGGTGTCCCTAGTACCTGAGTCGAGATCATATAAACAGCACCTAATGACTTCAACACCAGACCATTTAGTGACATTGTTGAAAGGTGTTACTACAGGCAGTGGACAGGCTGGAATTTCTTCAGAACTTAATGACAATGAATCTGTCCTACATAGCAGGGTATGTGTTGTCAAATCTGAAGAAAAAGTCCGAAAACAAAGCGAATGATGGGCTTCAAATAATTTTAGAACATATGATCAGTTGTGGTTTGGAAAATACACACATTAAGGCACACAGTTAAGGACACCTAGCAACACCATGTGATGATTTGGTCAAGCTACTAGAGGTTGACAGGTTGTATGGATTCTATTCAGACAGTTTATAAAGAAGATATAGTGAAGATAAAAAGTAAATTTGACTTTTTGATTCTTAGACAAACATACTTTTTGTACATACAATTATTAACTCAATTCCATCCACCAATATTGATTTCCGACGTATATGACGGGAAGATTAAATATGAAAGAACTCCACAAGTATTTGCAGTAGAAATACTAAAATACCGCCAAAAAATTCCGCTTGATCGATACTATACTATATATTCCGAAATATTCGTATAATTTTATTGTTTCTCGCTCAATTTCAAGTGAATTTCTAACCTTGAAATGATCAATGCAGTGAAATTTATGCAAATGATGCATTAGCAAATTTTGCTGTAGCATTTTGAATATTCCGCTTGATTTAAATGCTTGTATCTTTGCTTCTTTTCAACATATAATAAAGACAAATATACCAAAAGAATTGCCATCTTTCATTCTATAGCTCTGAGCAGCATTACAGCAGGGGCGGATCAATGCTCATCTTTAGTCCCTGAGCTGGGAAGGACAATTAAAACGCTCAAATGCTCTGCTACTACTTTAGTAACTAGCTAAATTAATGCACACAGTATATTTGCAAAGTATCATTTATTAATTATTTAATAATTATTAATGAATAGAAGTATAAAGTTACAAAATATAGTTGTATAGCTTTTCAGTATAGCTTCCTTAGAATATTTAAAATTTGTGAAAATCGTATAGTAACAAACTAACAAAGTTTTTAATAAAATAAATAAATAAATGAAATAATGAATAGTTTTTTCAGGTTCTCAATTTAGTAATAAATATATTATAATGATTATATGTTTTATACAGTTAGACTAGTTAGGCAGTTAATGACTTAGACCTTAGCCCACCTATTGCGCATGTTTCCCCATGCTGTTACGACTTTGTCCAAATCCAGAAAATCAACAACATCTCTGTTTAACGAAATGCATAAAAGATCACTTAATCTTTCTGGACGAAGGGTGGATCGCAGCTTCGTGCAGATACGATTCATACTGGAAAATGCTCTTTCCACTGAAGCGGTTGATGTCGAGATGGTGTTCTTAACTGCAATTAAAGTGGTCAAGTTTGGAATACTCTTTGGATTTATTGGTAGACCAAGACAGTAATCAACTTCAGCTCTTTCGATTTTTAGTTCGAGGATAGATCTGTCAATGTTGAGACAGCTGAAGGTATTCAGTAGCACATCTAGTTCACTTAAGACCAAATAGGTATCTGAACCTGCATTAAGAGCATCGATAGCTCTAAGGATGTCTATGTTCTTAGAGTCAAATCTGACATTAAACTCATCGTTGAGTTTCTTCTTCAGCTCTGTGTTGAGTTCTGCAATAAATTCTTTTATCTGATGACCCTGATCATCGGGAGTTGTAACCGTTGTAGCTCTAGTGTTGTGGATAGGCATTGTGTCACAGAGAGCTAATGGGTTTCCAGTCTTTCTTGAAATTTCTTTCGACTCGATCAGTATGTCCTCATCTTTGATGTTATTAATTGAATTTCGAGTTCGAGTCAGCTCGTATTGAACGTCCGTCCAATCAATTTTTTCGACTCGAAGTTCTTTATTAAGGAAGTATAGCTTGCCGAGATATTTATTAAGTGTTGTCAGATCGACGATGAATTTTCCTGACATCAGTTTGTGGTACAGTCTGTTTCTGCCTGCAATTTTGTATACCTGTAGTACTCGTCATCTTCTGAATCTTCATCATTTTCACCTGGGTTGTTTGCCACGTCTATCAGGGTCGTGAGGACAACATCAAATCTTTCAGATATAACATCAACGGCTTCGTATTTGCATCCCCAATGAACATCGATTTGCTGCGTAATGTTTAACTTGTTTGCTAGGATACATTTCTCTGTGGAGTGATTCGTACTTTTATCTGATCTTCGGTTTATTGAGCAGTGTATGGCAGGATTTTACTGTGATCATAACATCCGTTGATGACAAAGACACCTTTATCATGTCTCCCACAACCAAATTCAAACGATGGGCAGTACAATGGATGTAAACAAGCCACTTAAATTACCTCGATCGAAGCAGTTCTGCAACTCCTGCTAACCGACCAGACATCACGCTAGCGCCATCTGCGCCAAGGCTGATAATAGGCGATCCATTGGATTTCTGCTGGACTTTAGAGATCAGGTCTTTCGTAACTGCTGAAATAGCTTCTGCATCAAATTTGGTGGGTGCAGTCATGGACAGAAATCTCTCTTGTACCTTCTCAGTGTAGTAGCGAACAGAGAAAGCGAGCTCTTCTCTCTTGCCCTTGTCTTTGCTTTTGTCTATCAGTGCACTGAAGCACCCGGCAGTTGCGATCTGATGGCATATCTGGTTCCGTATCTGAACCACGAGTATAGACAGCATTTCATTGAGAGATGTTTTACTAGTGTAGTCCACAAGAAGCCTTTTATCTCTTATCGCTTGGTGGAGACTTCGAAACTCCTTGTTGGTCTTCAGTTGCATCTTTATAAAAGTTGTCCAGTTTCCTGGGTTCTTCGAATCAGCCACCTCGTCATGGCCCCGGAATGCTATTTCGTTTGTTGCAAACCAAATTACATACTGGAACAGAAGTTTAAAGTACTCTCTGTTGTTTTGAATTGTTTTCGCTTGATCGGGAACCAGTTTCTCGAGTATACTTGTATCTTGTCCATCTGATATTCGGAGCTTTGCCTTCCATTTCTCATAGCAAACTTTATGAACTTCTCATTTCTGATGTTTCATAAAACCTTTGTCCTTGTCTAGGGCATTAGTCCACTTCCTAAAGCCAGTTACGGTAAATGTGGTGTCTGCGGAACTTCTTGAGCCGAAGTTTTTACAAGCAAAGCAAAATGCTGCATCACTTTGAACGTTATACTCTAGCCAGTCGAAGCGGTTGTACCAGCTCGTGTTGAAAGATCTTGTTTTTTTGCTTGGAAAGTTTGTATTTATCAGAAATTTCTGGAGCTTCGGTTGTGATGGTTTAATGTCCAATTCTTGACTGAGATCACAGGAGCTTGCTTGGCTAGTTTGAGGGGCGGATTCTTCTTGAGTCTCTTCAGGATCACAAATCGTATGAACTTCATCTGGTCCAGCATCATCTCGTTGAGTGTCATGGTCATCTCGTTCATCTTCAAGTTCTTGATCTTGATTAATTGGTTCGACATCATCTAGTTGTGCATGTGGGTCTGATTCTGGAAAGAATAAATAAAGTGATCAGCGAACATACAATCGAGTCGGCCCAATTGGCCAAATATCAAAAATGCATGTATGTGCCCAGCCGGGTAATGATTCTAGAGAAAAGCCGCCATAATACATTTTGCGACATGAAGCAAACAAGCGTGGCATTAAAAATTAAAAATAATTTAAAATAAAATAATAAATAATACTGCAGAAAACTTTCATAATTCTGATGATTTCTCAACTTTGTTTTTCTTTTGGAAAAAGTGTGCAAGTGTCGGTTGGTGCCTTTTCATTGTTGTCTCTCTTTGGTTCACCCAACAAATTGCAAATCAAAAATCACTCACATTAATCGTTATGTTTCGGTATTGGATTTCACAAAATAACAGATATATTAGAAGTTCTTCATGATTCACTTTCACTCATGAATAATGCATAAAGTGCACCAGCTTTTATACTAACGGTTAGAGTAAAATATGACTTAATTCACTAAAAATAATCTATGACATATTGCTGATGTAATACACTATGAGTAAGCAAATTCCATTTGAGAGCCATTGGACCTATTACCTAATGTAATGAACAAAGTTTTGATCTAAACAAGTCTAGACAAAAATTTCATCACAGCTTGAAAGAGCATCACAAAATTAGTAATATTCTGACGTTTCGCTGTGAAATGTTGTAAAATGCAGATAATATAGCCCTGTGAAGTTTGCCGTTTTTCAGTCAATCAGTCATTTTGTATTACGCACGGGAAATTGATACCTTTTCAGAAAGCGGTATCAATTTCCCATGCGTAATACAAAATGACTGAAAAACGGCAATCTTTGTAGTCGCAGCGCTATTTGCATTAGGCATTTTGCAAGCATCGTTTCAAAACGAGCGAGTAAAATACAACCCACGCAAGTTGATGAATATATATGTATAGCTATATATTAGGGAATGTTGAAAGCCTTAAATTAAGATACCCGGGCAGTAAAAATATGTGCAAACAAACATTGTGATGGCAGTAGGGTTTTGATAAGTGTACCCACCTCGCCAGACCGCACATTAGGAAAACGCGATTAACAACCGAGTTGACAAATAATGAGGGGGAATCTGAAAAAGATTACCAGCCAAAAAACCACCGGAACGAGGGTTAAAAAACTCGAAAAGTGGCCGCCATTAAATGCATGAACGAACAAACCTAATGACCATGAAAAACGACTTTATGCATACAGAAAGACTCCAAACGAATGTAACAGTGAGAAAATAAAACAAAATAACTTTGAAAACCACGAGATAGAGGACAGAACATGCACAGCCAAGAGGAAAATAGAACACAGGTCGTCAAAAAGAAAACAAAACATGCAAATTGTAGGCCTAAGTACACTTGGGCTTCGGAGGATTGTGAGCAAAAGCAGTGACTAACGCACTACGATGTGGCATCGAAAACAACTATGAACACCTGAGAATAAACAACACTCGTAGGCTACTATGGACCCAAAAGCTGAAGTGAATACATTTAAACGCATATACCCAGTCACACGCCAGAGTACACGTTCCCAGAATGTATCTGCAGCAAGAACACGTCGTAGTCATGTGTAGGGTTTTGATTAGTGTACCGAACTCGCCAGACCGCACAGTAGGAAACGCTGAAACCCCGCGAGAGAACAAAATATATGCCATGGACAACGTTAGGCTTTTGTGCATTTGAACTCGCTAAAATGCCGTATTAATACGGATCCATTTAAATAGAAACGAACAAGCAAAATACAACTAAGTGCCAGTGAAACTCGACAAGGAATACAACAGGTATGACTTAAAAAACCTGTACCTAAGAAAATGTGTGGAAAATACAAACACATTGCATGTATGCATGCAGATGCGGAAAAATACAGGTTGAACATTAACAGTGTAATATAAATGCCGTTGTAACAAATTGTACATGATACCAAAGACAACTGAATAGGCTCGAAACTCGTGGCGACGACCCACTTGAATTCGGTAGATAACAAATAGATACCTGATTCCAAGTACAGCTGGTTGAGGAGGACGATTAATTCACATCAATGCTAGACATACCATGACAAGTCAAATGGTATGGGGAGTGTTATCATGCTTCTGTGTAAGCAATGCATTTCGTTAAATTCCCAAGGCCAGGCTCGGCTGCGACACGTGTGACCAAAAAATTTCAGCGCCGTCCTTCCTTTTCGGTGGCAAATCCGCAAATGCTCAAAAGATACCAATTCTGTGCTACTTTTATACTGTCTGACAATCACGTGGTGTATATGGATGACTAATTGATCATCTCATGCATAAATATTCAAAGTATATGGTATTGTGAGAGAAAACTCCCAGTGAGAATAAGCTGGGAAAATTAAGCAAGCTACATTTGATGCTCCGTATTACAGGTAAAATGATTTTTCTCTGCCTATATATTATGCAAGAATATTTTACTTGTCAAGTGGAGAGAGTGCTGGTGCTTAATGGGTTGACGAAAAAATATTTAGTACCCACTAATGGAGAACGGTACTAATGGAGAAAGCACTTGACCCAATCCAGTTTACCTAAGTGATAGGCATTAATGTGCCATTTCCATTGAACAGGTTGACCAAGTCCCAGATAGTAGGATAACTTTCTTCCCCACACCCTTATACTTGTGCTAAAGGGGACAAAATTAAAACTACTTATGTACGGTACCTTATTTATTCACTTTAGATATCCTTACAAAGAGTTTGGTGAATCAAGCTTTGGGGTGGGATGCCAAGGAAAATCTCAATAAGGCTCCAAAGGATAGGACAATTAAACACTTATCTGATCTCACCAACTCAATCCGGTAATGCGGCGTCACATTTGATGTATGGGAGAAGGATGGAGATGGAAGGGGAAGTGGTATTTATGACTTTATGAACTTGATGGGATCGGATAAGAAGATCCTAATGAAGTCCCTGCCAGAAAAGTTGCCGGAAGTACTTAAACCAGGCAGAGCTAGTGAATCAGTTGTAAAACTTTGGAAGGTACAGATTGTTAGTACACACATGTAAAATAAATTACTATTGCATAAATCACAGTTAATAGAAATAGGATGGTTTGGATAGTGGCGGTTTGGATAGTGATGGTTTGGATAGTGCAATTTCAATTGCATATGTGTGGTCTAGAATATTCACGTTGAAAGTTACTCTTTATAGAGCGCTGTTAAATTTACTTTCCATTTTTATTATCTTGCAATGTAAGTTTTAAAACATGCCTGGTAGAAACTGTGCATTTTTTGACTGTCCGACAAGCCAAAAGCATAAACTTTCGCTTTTCCAAGTACCTGTTGTGAGCATAAAGCAAAGTGAATACACTGCCTCTATCAAGAAGAAAACCCAAGAACAATGGCTCAAAATCATCTTGAGAACAAGGGAGATGACTCCAGAACTGAAAACGAGGATCGATAACAACAAGATATATGTTTGTGAATGCCATTTTAAAGCTGAGTGCATTCAATCAGGTAGGATTTTAATTTGCATAACCAGTGATTATACGCGTCATGTTTATTATATGCCATATGGTTTGAGAACAAAGAGGTCATTATATTACTTATGAATATGCAATGTGCTCATATAGTTTGTCGATATTGTTTCTTTTATAAAAAAAATCACGTTTTCAAGATAATTCAACATTCTACATTATTTTTTGACAAAGCATATAAATAAATAAATAGACTTATTGTTTGAACGTCAAAAGCATTTATACTATAATTCAACTTTAGTTTATAATATATGTTTTTACTTCAATATTACAATAATTTTATGTACAAACTGCCGCTGTTTGAACTCGTAAAATATGACTAATGGGACGTTAAGTCTGTGAATAAATGATTTTCAGTATTGCCTACTTTGGAATTATTGTTGAAATGTGTGTGTGTTTGATACTACATTGTAGACCCAGATAAGCCCAATTCAAGGAAGACCCTCCAAACTGGCAGCATTTCCACAGAGAACTTGCCCTTGAGACCACACAAGTCGAAAAAGACACCACGTTCGGATCCTTGTGAGAAAGGAAGTCGAGCATGCAGAGGATATGCCATCTACTTCTTCCGATATGTTTGAGCCAGCATTGTGTTTGAGCACAAATTTGACTGATCTTGCAACTCAGCTTGATACTACTGTGTTGTTGCCATGGCTAACAGAAATTGCTCAGGATGAGAATATTAAATTTTGCCTTAGTGACCAGGTTCATGCAGTTCCTACCTATACTGTTATTGTGGACTCAAGTTTGGAGTTTACGGCTTATGTCTATAATTGGCCAATAGCCGATAACCACAAGATCTACAATGATCATAAATGCTCCATTAAGAGTGTTGAAGATGTTCGGGAACTTTTGTCAACAATAGAGACAAGTAAGATTTGTGAAGGTGTGGGTGAAGACTATGAATCCAGGTCTGCTGCTATTGATCCAAATGCAGACATCACAGCATTTGGTCCTCAAACAGTTGTTCGCCATTCGGTCCCCAAAATGCCAACCCCAACACAATTTGAGGCAACTGTGTTCTTTATGTGTATAGAATGCCAAGTTATTATGGAGACTTCTGATGAACTTTGCAATCCCTGCTCTAAAGCAAGCAAACAGTTGAAGAAGAGAACTGAAAAGAGAACCAAAGCGTCCCCAGCCAAAAGTAAGGCACCCCTGGCTGCTTGTGGACCAGAAAAGTTACGGGCGACCGTCAAGGCAACAAGACTTGAATGTAAAATGCTAAAACAGCAGCTGCAGGAAGTGCAAGAATGCATTTAAGAACAAGGAATATGCATTGACAAATCTCTGGAAGAGGACATCCGTAAAATAATGGATGGACAAAACATGAATGCTACTCCCCACATGAAATTCTTCTGGGAAGAACAGATGAAACTTATTCAGTCTGCCAGCTGTGGTCGAAGATATCATCCACAAATTATTCTGTTTGCCTTATCTCTACACGGAAAGTCGCCATCTGCCTATAAAGAGCTCCGGGAAAGTGGTGCTTTGGTGTTACCTAGTGAAAGGATACTACGTGACTATAAGAACTATTTCCCCCCAAAAGCAGGAATAAATAACGAGAATGTGGATGCATTGCAAAAAAGGCTCCATCATTTACCAGAAATCAATGATACGTTGTACTTGTCATGGACAAAATGAAAATCCCATCTGATCTCGTGTTTGACAAGAACTCTGGTGACTTAGTTGGGTTTATGGATCTAGGAGATCCCATGACAAATTTTGCTTGTCTTGATGAGAAAGATACCATTGCCACCCATGCTTTGGCATTTCTTGTTAGGGGTTTATGCACTGATGTAAAACACATCATTGCATATTTCTTTACAGGAAATGTCACTTCATACCAATTAATGCCAATTTTTTGGAAAGTGGTTTCCATCTTAGAACTGTCTTTGGATCTTTGGGTGGTTGGTCTTGTCAATGATGGTGCCTCGCCTAACAGAAAGTTATTCAACCTCCATGATAAGTTGGCTGTTGATCAGAAGTGTGATGTTGTATATAAGACAATAAATGTTTTTGCACCATCACGCTTCATCTTTTTCTTTGCAGATATACCACATTTAATGAAGACAGCACGGAACTGTCTGTACAACTCTGGCTCAGGTTCACACAGTCGTTTAATGTGGAATGATGGCCAATATCTGTTGTTTAGACACATAGCAGATATTTTTTATCGGGATCAAGCAGTTGTCCTGCATGTGCTTCTGAAATTAACCTTGGAACACATTGTTCTAACATCTTTTAGCAAGATGAAAGTGAAACTGGCAACTCAAGTACTCAGTCGGTCAGTTGCTCTAGCGTTGGAGGAAAGTGGAAACAGCGAGGTTTTGGGAACTGCTGAATTCTGTAGGATGATGAATGACTTTTTCGATTGCACCAATGTGAGATCACTTTGCGAGCATGAGAGAAAGAGGAACGACCTTATCAAACCCTATACAGCTGTTGATGATGATCGGTTTGATTGGTTACATGATGTTTTCCTAAAGTACCTGGAGAATTGGAAGAGGTCCACTCTTGAAAGAGCTGGTCAATATTCGGCAGATGATAGAGGAAAAATGTTTCTTTCCTCTCAAACCCATGAAGGTCTTCAGATTGCTGTACACTCCTGTGTTGAGGCTATCCAGTTCCTGCTTCAGCAAGGGTTTCAGTACGTTCTAAGTGAACGATTCATGCAAAATGTGCTGGAGGATTACTTTGGCCATCAGCGTGCTAAAGGAGGAAGAGCTGATGACCCAAGTGCATATGAATTCGGTTACAATGACTTGACAATTGCAGCACAGCGAGACATTGCCCCGGTCGTAAGAGGAAATGTAGGTGGCCGATACAAGAAAAAGAAATGGTACACTGTAAGTGATGAGCCAGTGGAAAAGAGGAAAAAAAATAAATGAGTCTATGATGGCAGTATTACTGTAGGTAGTAATTGTCAAAATGATTTTAATGACAGTACAATAATAGATCTGTTCTAACTTACATGTACATTATGTTAACACATAAACTCATTAAGGTGCAAGGCTCTTTACTGATAAACAAAATAACATACTGTCGGATGAAGCATTGCACTTTAATAGGTAAATGTCCAAATATCTACGTTTGCGCACATGCAGAAATCATGTCTGTATTTGTATGCAGTTTTTAGATAAATATTTTAATTGTACACTATTTTACACTTGATGAATCTACTGGCATACCTTTTTACTTGTCTGTGGGGAAGAAAATACATGTACAGGCAGTATTGTACATCAATAGGTTAACTTAGAGCAACAGACTTCCCTCTTGCCAAGTATTAATTCTGCTGCTAGAAGGAACACCAAGGCATATTGTGGTTTGTAAGACTAGGCAGGACTGGGACTATTTCAGGCTAGTTTTGTAATCATATATACCTTGCAAGATATATCACCATGCCCAGTGGCAGGAATTCACTTTTTCCGGTGGGGGCCAAAGCCCCCTAAATGTCCGACAAAACTTTCAAATTTCTGACATATCCCCCCCCCCCCATTTGCACTCAAAAAGACTGTTTTTAGCCCTCTTTTAGGTCAAAATTTCTGAAAATTCATCAATTTTCCATGAAGGTGGGGGGGGGGGGGCGGCTGCCCCCTCGCCCCCTCCCCCTAAGATTTCCGCCACTGACCATGCCACAACCAATAATGGGTGAACAGTGATACTTTGGTACACCAACTGTATATTGTATACATCAGACTGAAACCTGTGCATATTTATTGTACAGACAAATTCCATCTAAATCTCATGATGATTGACTTTTGACAATAAGACAACTTAAGTTTTTGCAAGAATAGATTCTTTTGATATTAGACTCTTACAAATGATTAATTAGGCTGGCAGCCTCATTCCCATGAATGGTGAGTCAAATTCATAGGTAGACGTGATGTAATTATTGTAAGAGTTTTTATTTTATTTTGGGGACATTGTACTGTATATATACTTAATTTAAAAGGGCTGATTGATTATTATAAATGAATAACATGTTACTGACAACTGAATGCATTGTACTGTATAATTGTTGCAAAACTTTCTATCAAGCCGCATTGTGCCTGATAATTTATCCCATTGAGCCGCAATGTGCCCTACTTATTTCTTACTTGTCAAACAAGAGACGAATTTATTCATCAATGGGAAATGGGTTAACGAAAAAATCCGACAATGTCTTTAGGTTAACCCATTGAGCCGCAATGTGCCCCAGTGCGTTCTCCGTATTTTTTACTTGTCTAATGCCAGACATTTTACTTGTCAATGGGAAGCTCTGCAGCTTAATGGGTTAATCTTCCTGCTAGAGAGAGAAGCTTGTTGGTTTTGTTTGGGGTACAGTATGAACACCTGGGTGAAAACCCAGAAACTGCTCAACAAATACCATCTGCAGTTTGCATGAGATTGAAAGGCTGAAAACTCAGTATGTTAAAACATATATTTCCCAAAACAACAAACACATTTCCCATATTCTAAATAATCTTATTTACATTTGCCATGATCTTAGTATAGTTCATACTTCCGAGCTTTGCTTCAAGTCCTTTCTCAATGCCTTCTTTTTGCCTTGTTTCTCTTTTATTATATATTGTGTGACATAGTCTTTGGTATACGAGAATGATCTCACCTTCAAGAACATTTTCACAATGTTTTCAAGACATAGCTTGTTTATATCACAAGTTGGATTTACTCCAGAAGACAACACAATATTTTCCCATAGCGACTTGACAATGGGCAAGCGGATAGTCGAAAAGCAGATTGCATCCAAAGGAATGTTTCGAATGACATCAGTCTTGTTAACTTCCTTTTGAAAACAAATCTCTGCTTCATGTAAAATCCTAACAATATCCTGGCAAGGAGTAACAAGACCACCCCTTGTCCTGGCTGATATGAATTTGTTGCTAACTTCCTCTTCAGATACTACTAAAGTTTGTAACAAAGCTTGAAGATCAGGTTTTCTTCCCCTGACTTTCCTTTACTTGCTTTATTTAATTTTGACAAAACATATCCTGCAATGTATGAAAGAGGTCCATGTTTGCTAGGCTGAATTTGGTAGTCTGCAGATTCCAGTGTTTTTTTTCTCCCACTAGACCAACATTACAAAACCCAACTAAATGATCTGGAATATGGATCATAACTAGGTCAGCAACTCGTGAATCTTAACAATTTAAAAGTTTTGATGAATTTAGCATCAATCCATAAAATGACTCGAGCAGTTTATCTTGGTTCCTGTTTTGGCAAAATTTTGTGTAAAGAAGCAAGACGTCCTTTAACAATGCTTCGGTCGCTGAAATGTTCTTTACAACGCTGTTGATTTCATCTCCATAAAGCTTTTCTGTGATAATATTGCTTTTAATTGTTTCCACAATCGACTCTATTGTGTCAAAACAAAGAGGTGCCGTGTTCAGAGGGGATGAAACTTTGTGTGGGTCACCATGTTTCGAGTTGGTGTGCTTCATTAGACCGCCTTTCGACTTACATATTTTGCTACAGTTGGAGCAAGGGAATACTTTTGCGCCTTCAATTTCAACTATTGAATCGGCAAATTTGTTTTCGACTTCTTGATAGTCGGTGTCTACAATGTCAACAGCAATGTTTATGTTGTATTCATGAAACCGTTCATTATGCTGGAAAGAGCTTTTGTCTTGCTCACTCCTTGTCAAAAGCGGTGGAACAATATCATGTCTTCCACGTAAAGTTTCCCCCAAATCTTCGCTCAAAATATGCCTTACAGCATGTTCTTCTTGCCTTTGCTCTTCGAAGTCCATAGCAATCAGATTTTAGCGGTTTAAGCAATGTAATATGTATGAAATTAGAGAAAGCCCAATCAATTCACTATTGTTTACCCCGAGGCCATGCACACTAAAAGTCATGTGACTTTTTTCCCTTTTATGCACAACATATTTGCCGCCCCGCTTTGAAGTTTGCTGGCTATCCAAACCATCCTATTTCTATTAACTGTGCATAAATATCCTTTTATATAGTACTGGTAGATATAAATGTAAAATCGCCTAATACTCTCATCTTTATAACAGGATTTCAAGTACTATTTACAACATGAGCGGCCATGACACGCTTATGTTTTTTCTTTGTGTTTTCTTCATGAATTATTGAGTTTTTTAAATAATTTTAAGAATGTTTTCAAATAAGACAAACTAAATTTTTATTGGCAATGTACTTGAAATTAGATTTTTTTGTTAGGTTAAATTAGATCAATTGCATGTAAATCACTGCAGATCATGCATTCCTATATTAAGTGGAGCTTTAATTATAGAAATTGCGCTTTTGTTGTAGTTACTGAAAAATTGAGGTGTTGAGATTGTTAGCTCAACGCTTGTTCTCTACAACTAAGAAGCTTTTTTCCAGATGCCATTCCGTCAATTCCGTAAAATACCCCATCCGAAACAATCTACCGGTGACAGTTGAACTAAACGAATTGCCAGTGTAAGAATATATATATATATTGTATACAGTCGAACCCCTATAAGCAGACACCTCTCTTAAGCAGACACCTCTTTTAAGCGGACACATATCCCAGGTCCCATTGTTTTCTTTAATAAAATACTATTATCATAACCCCTATTAAGCGGACACCCCTCTTTAACAGACACCTTACTTGAGGTCTTAATGGGCAAACCAACCTCTCTTAAGCAGACAGATGACAGATTGTCTGATAAAATGTATTCAATATTCAACAGTAAATAACAATTGAGATCAATTTACATGGCACATTGACAGTGACCAACTTGGCACGAAGACATCAGAGCCACGATTATTGAGGAAGTGACGAACGAGGACGGATGACTGTGATCCGCCAGCCAAGGAGGCGAAAGATATGTGTCGGATCACTGATGATGACAACAAACAGAACGAAGATGATGAATTTGACTGCTCTCTTAACAAACCAGTCATTAAATCTTCCTCCGAATCCCTTAAAGTTGTCGAGCAGCTGGCAGAATTCACCCAATTTCGAGGTTTGGAAGAACGTTCTCGAATAGTCATGTAAGCATTGGTATAAATATTGGTCTGAGAAAGAAGTTTTGAAAGAAATGGAAAATAATGAAGAAGAACTTAGTCTACGTCAGATGAAGCGGAATAAAAGACAGAAGAAAAAGCAAAAATTAGCTGCTGCTGCCAAGGAATTCGCAACTTGCGGTAACGCAAAGCATCATGGTAGTTTAGTTATCACGGCAGAATTTGATGATGGCATGATGGTGGCTGTTCACTTTGCATATGCGTGCGTGGTCAATTACAAATATTTTTGCTTAGTTCTCAATAAAAGCTTTCCGACATTCTGTCAGGTTTGTTGTTGTCTGACATGGGATCTCTAAGAGTCATTGATTTTGAGATATTTAACATGATGATCGGCCCGGGCGAAGGCAAACATGGCTTCGATTGGACATGAACGAACACAAATTTAGACTTTTCACACATTTTAAAGGTAAGTACACTGCTAAAATTTGTGTTAAATAAGTAAGACACACTTGTTCATCACTTACAACAGGCAGTTCTGCGATCGAGTCCTAGTTAATAGTTCCAGAGGCAAAAGTGTTTTCACATCAAGTCGTCTTAAAACAACACATGCTTGATCAAGTGTTCCATTACAAACCAAAACATTGAGGATGTTTGGCGCAAAAACTATCCATTCAAAGTATCGGCTTTTTCATTTTCAAAGATTTAAACTTGTTAAACAGTACTTTTAAGTACTATTGGCTGCTGTTCACTGTTCGGTGAAGAATTAAAAAAGAAACTATTTGTTCGTGTGTTTCTGTTTGCTGTTTATATTCTTTTTACTTCACATTTTGGTGCATTTTTTTGCAAAGTAATGGAGCAAACAGATAATATATTTACTGGTCAATGCAGAGAATGGACGAGGAACCTCAGAAGCATTCCTCCTTTCACACATGAGCTACTAAAACAGTATTTACTTACTGATACTTCGGGGAAACAGGGAAAACCACCAAATGAACACGAGCATAAGAAATATGGCTACCAGCTTTTTAAAGAAAAAATGGTTACCAAATTACAAGTTAAGCCAGACATTTTAAAAGGAACTGAACGTTTCTTTCTTGTTAAATGCAATGTGCATACTTCAATGAAAAAGGTGCAATATACTGTATATGTCCACTTTCACCAGGATACAGGAAAAGTGTCAACTGCAAGTTGCTCTTGTGTAGCAGGACAGGGTGGTTTATGCAAGCATGTAGCTGCATTACTTTACCAAATTCTGGACTTTATTCAGCTTGAACTAACTGAAGTCCCAGATGACTTAACATGTACACAGCTACTGCAACAGTGGCATGTACCAGCAAGTGAGGATCTTAAAACTGCTGTACCTTTTGATAATATCAAATTTAGCAAGGCAACTTCAACAAGGAAATGTTATAATACTAATAATACAAACAACCCAGCTCCCGCTTTTGCAAGAAATGTGACTGATACTGACATTAAAAACCTTAAGGATGGATTAAAAACTGTAGGAACATGCAACTATTTTGAAAACCTACTAGAATCAAACAATTGTCCACCTTATGACTACAATGAATTTCTGGCAGAATTACCTTCAAAAAAGAAATTCACCGAAGTCCAGCAGAGTGCGGGTCAATTGTTTAATGTAGAAATAAGAGATTCAATACTGAATGGAATAACCCATCCAAATTTTGCCGAAGTGTGTAAGCATATACCATGCCCACAGCATGTACCATTTGTTGAAGAAAAGCTGCTCAAAACAAAGGAACAAATTATCAATATTGAGTGCAACACAAGAGGGCAGTCCGACAACAATCTGTGGTTTGAAGAAAAGGCGCCTTCGTTTAACTGCCTCAAATTTTGGTTTGGTATTGAAACGTAGGGAAAGTATTTTTCCAAAGTCAATACTTACCAAACAGTTTACTTCTGTCAATAGCAAAACAAAAACACCAAAACCATGTCTATGGGGACAAAGCAATTAACAAAATGCAATTACAAAATACTTAGAAAAATGTAACCATGATGGACAGTGTATCAAAGCATGTGTTCAGTGTAGGTTGGTAGCTAATGCAGAAGCTCCATGGCTAGGTGGGAGTCCAGATTGTTTCCTACATGACATGTGGTATTGGCGAGATCAAATGCCCATTTTCTAAAAAGGACATGAGAATTGAAGATGCATGTAGTTCATTTTTTATGCTGCCTGCTGATGACGAAAACCCCTGACCAACATTGAAAAGAAACCACAACTATTACTACCAGCTGCAAGGGCTAATGGCTACATGTAATGTAGAATGGGCAGATTTCATAGTTTACACCATGGAATAAGTTTTTAGTGAAAGAATTTACTTTGAAAATGAGTTGTGGAACAAAAACATGTTACCTAAGCTAACATAATTTTACTTTTCATTCATTTATCCTGAACTATTAGAAGTATAATAAACTATCAAATTACAACTATGTTTACATGTGTTCTAAGTGTTATTCTGAATCAGGCTTTTCGTTTATTAATGGTGGGTGGAAAAGAGTT